GAGCCCCAAGCCCAGCCCAGAGCCCCAAGCCCAGCCCAGAGCCCCAAACCCAGCCCAGAGCCCATCCCAGCCCAGAGCCCATCCCAGCCACTCTTACGTGATGTACTTGTTGTAGAGGATGAAGGCGTACTCGGCGTTGCCCTCCTCCGCGTACACCGCCGCCATGCGCAGCATCTCCACCCCCGAGCGGTAGTAGCGGCGCGGGGGGACGTCCTCGTTCACCTCCACGCTGCTTCCCGCCTGGATCAGCCTCCGCACGCGCTCCTCCGGCGGGAGGCGGCGGCCCGGCATGGTCACACACATGGAGCGCAGCCCTGCGGGGAAGGGACGGACCGGGATGGACCGGGCGCTGGCACCGGGGGAGGGACGCGCGGGATCCATCGGACACACCCGCCCCTGCCACGGCACGGGCACCCCGACCATCCCACGGACACCCCGACCGCCCCATGGACACCCCGACTGTCCCATAAACATCCCAACACTTCCAAAGACACCCCAACAGTCCCACAGACACCCCAGTAATCCCAGACACCTCGACTATTCCAGACACCCCAACCATCCCACAGACACAGCAACCATCCCACCCTGTCCGTGAGAGCATCGACCAAATGTTCCTGGAGCTCTGGCTCAAACCCCGGGGATCCTGTTCCACTCCCTATTCCAGTCCCTGTTCCACTCCCTGTCCCAGTCCCTATTCCAATCCATTCCCAGTCCCTGTTCCAGTCCCTATCCCACTCCCTATTCCAATTCCTTTTCCACTCCCTATTCCAATCCCCGTCCCAGTCCCTGTCCCAGTCCTGAGCTGCCTCATCCAGGTTCCTCAGGATTGTCTCTCCCTGACCCAAATCATCCCCCCTCAGCAGGAAAACATTTAATCCACAAGTCAAGCCAGGTCCTGAGGGGGAAATCTGGGAAGAGCCCAGCTCTGTGTGGACACAGCACCGGGATATTCACCTTTGTGACCTCAGAGCAGCTGCAAATTCAGTCCCTGGCATTAATTTATGTAATTTTATACATACAAAAATATAATAAATAAAATATATAATAAATAAAAGTATATGCCATGAGAATGACACAAAATTATTATATAATATATAAAAATAGATAATATATTAGAATATAATAAATTATATATTATATTAATAAAATGAATATAATAATTGATAAAATATATGATAATATATAATATAAAATATAGTATATTAGTATAATTAATATAGTATAGAGCAGTACTTTAATATATGTGAATATAAAATTAATAGCGCATATTAGATATAAAATTACACAATATACATATTGTAATATATTAATATAATATATTAATGTGTATATATGTAATACAATATATTAATAGTAAATTAATATATTAATAATTAGTGATCTAATATATTGCAATATAATAATGTATATTATATTACCAAAAGTAATATAATCCATAATATAATATAATATGGAATTTGTAATGTGTTATATATTAATAATAATAATATACATATTTTATATGTATAAATAAATATATATATGTGTGTGTGAACAAATAGAAACCAATATAATCACGTCAGGCCCTGGACATTAATTCCAAGCTCTGATGGGTTTGGTCCCTCCAAATCCAACCCGAGGCAGCTCTTCCCGTTCGTTTCCCCACAGGACAAACCCGGTGCTGGTGCCCAGTTTGGGCTGACAAAGCCAAGGAGTTTCCCAGGAGATTTTCCAGCTCCACAGGAGGTTTCAGCCCCGCAGCCTTTTCCTTATGGGATGTGGACGGTGCCAAAGGACCCTCCCAGACCCCTCCTCATCCCAAACTCTCAATCCCTCTCTCCCGGTGCTGTGGGAGTGGCCTCTTTCCCTCTGGGACTTGGCTCCTCTGGGGGTTCAGCTTCCCAAGGGGAAAGATCCCACAGCCAGACCCCTCCTGAGCAGTTCACCCTTTCCTGAGGGGAAGGATCCCCCTTCCCGAGGTGAGAGATCCCACAGCCAGACAGTCCCGAGTGGATCCCCATTGCCAAGGAAACCTCCCCCAGACAGACCCCTTCCCGACCTGCCCTCGATGCCAGACCCCCACTCAGACGGCCTCTCCGGCCGCCTCCCCCGCTCTCCCCATCCCCGGGGTCCCTCCCCATCCCGGGGCCCGTCCCGGACCTGCCGCCACCTTCCCCTCGCCACTTCCGGGTTCTTCCCCGCCCGCCGCCGCCCCGCCCCTCCAGCCTCGCTCCCGCCAGCCAATCCGGAGCCACCGCCACATCCGGGCAACTCCGCGCCCCCCCCCGCGCTTCCGCCCGGCCCCGCCCTCAGTGCGACGTCGGCGTGGTGACGTCACCCTTAAAGGGGCAGCGCCCTTGGCTCCGGCCCAGCCCCAAACCGGCCCTTCTGACCCCAAAACTGGCCCTTTCCGCCCCAAAACCAGACTTCTGACCCCAAAACCGGCCCTTCTCGCCCCAAAACTGGCCCTTCTGACTCCAAATTGGCACTTCCTGCCTCCAAAACCAGCCCTTCTGACCCCAAAACCAACCCTTCTGACCCCAAAACCAACCCTTCTGACCCCAAAACTGGCCCTTCTTGCCCCAAAACCG